TTTGCAGAGATAATATTTAGAGTTATATTTGTACAATAAAATCAAAAAAATTAATTTCAAAGATTTGCCTTGGAAGATTTTGGGCATTAAATTTGTAATACTTTTGGCAATTTTTGAAAATTGGCATCATGCCAATTTTCAAGAGTGGTCTGCCCTTTGATATATTTGATTATGATAAATGTCAATTTTGAAAAAAACATAGTCTTATGTTACTTAAAAATACCTTAATGGAAATGCAAGTTTAATTTTGAGTAATATAAATCAAGTGTGAATTTTACTATTTTTCTTTAATTTTTTAAGTGCATTTGCACTTAAATGTGCAAAAAGGAGGGGACGCTGTCTACGGCTGCCATGTTGAATGATGCAAATTTTGTTGGTCATTTTTTAATAACATATTATAAAGTCGAACTACCCACCAAATTTCATTAAGTTATGACAACCTTCGATTTGCATGGACAGTTCTGCATGGTTTTCTTGCGGACTGGCTCTTAATAAAATTAATCTAAAAAAATCAAGGTTGTCAAAAGTATTATTATTTAGTGCAATGCTGAGAGAGTCAATTAAAAAACGGCAACATGTGGATATTGCAAGCGCTGCATTTAATTATATATACGAGGGCTGTTCGAAAAGTTAATAGACGATGTCAATCTTCGTCAACTTACTTGAAAGTTAAAATAAGCACAATATAATATGTAAAACTATTTGTTTTTTTGATGTGTAAAGTTTCATCCCATTAAATTTAACAAAACTCAATTTACTTCATTTTAAAATTAACATGTTTTGTACCTAACAACGCTTTAAATTCGTCCAGTCACTGTTCTGTTTATGATTCTATATTTTATTATTTTAATTGCCCCGTTCTAAATTCGTCCTCATGTAAGAAGGCGAAAGGAGCGAAAATAAAGCAGGGGTGAAAATTTCCCTGTATACAGTAGCTATATTAAGCATATTCACCCCCTATCTGGTTTTATTTTATTCAGCTATAATTTGTGTAGATACTGATAATTTACTTTAAAAAAAATCTTTAGACTTTTGAGTGCAGGATTCAATTTCAATCTCCTAAATAGTAAAATTCCAAAGATAGACTCCCTGAAAACTACATATATGTACGTTCAAATGTTTCATATATTGTATGAAATTATTGAGCACAGAACATTTATATTATGTATACTATTAACTTACAGAATGCAGTTATTCCACAAACATGAAACAGGAAGAGGGATGTATAAAGCGCATATCTCTTCATGTTGCACCATTAACCTCTCATAGAGAAAATAAAATAAATACGCATTGCACAGCAAGAAAGAGAATCACCCAGAACGATTCATAAAAAATCATATCGAGTGGTATTTAAAACGTTGGCGCTGATTCAAGGTGTTTGTCTGAATTTTAGCAATTATATACGCAGATTTTATTTTAACTTCAAATTTATGATTTGGCATAAATCCCACTGAAAAGGCTAGTGTTTTCCGTTCGACGTCTGCCATTCTGTTACTCTTATGCGCAACTCCTCCTATACCAAAGAAAAAAACCCAGACTTTTGCAGAAGCTTAAATACACAGCGCCATTGAGATCATTCAATTTTATTTTCGGATCGGAGAGATATTTGTTTAAGAAATAACTGTCTATTTTTATTTCGTGAGGTGATAGATCGAGTGGATTGCGTGTTGATTTGCATAAAGGCGTTTATTCCTTAAAATATCACGCAAACCAATCGATTGATCATCGTCATGAATTTAAAACACCTGACAGTTATTCCTATATTAACATACTTTTATTCCGCCAATCCCCGCTTCTGTCTTTATTTGTCCAACCACGCACGTGATTTTTTTTTACCGTGCCTATATCGATGAACAAGTACATTTATTTAGAAATAAAGTACGTTAACTATTTGTAATTTCATCCCATACAAAGACATCGGTAATGTAAATATTTTCAATTTAAAAACTTGGCCATATTTGCCCCGCCACGAGTTTTGCCGAGTTACGTAGTGTTTGTCATGTCCTTGGTTCCGACAAACTTTGCGTTCAATTTCTCAGTTTCAAAAGAAACCATTAAAGGTATTTTTTATCAAACTTCATGTAATATGTATTAAAAAACAACAATAATAATCAATGAATGCCAAAATTTACAAAATCCAAGGGATACTTGTCTTGAGTGTAAGGTATTTTACTGTACGTATATTCTATGATGTCTTTTGGCTACACAAATTACTTAGCAGTAGCAGCTGTTGTTTGTCAAGAAGTAATAAGACTTTCCTCCTTGCTAAACCCCCAACTTGATAATAATTGTTAAAAGTACTTGCAACTTTGCTTCTGTCATAAACTTAAAATGTTCCTAGTCCCCCTGGTTCTCTGTTCATGTAATCTATCGGTCACTTTGAAAAATCATATGACAACTTTCTGCAATCTCTTAATCAACTTCATTATGGACCATATAATTCTTCCTGATAATAACACATCAACGGTTTAACAGAATACTTCTATACATACACTCAATGCAATGTTGCAATAGTATCCATTCACGTCATTAACCGTCGGGTGGCGCTGCGGTTTTAGAGGTGGTTACGCAAACGTTTGAATTTGTCAAGCGCTTGACTGAGTGTAAACAAATGGTAGCGTGGCGAGACACTGTGGTTTCTCCTGGACGTATACCTCCAAATTAATTAATTTGTAAAGAATGTCAACCCTCTGTGGTGTGCCAGGATGTTGTAGAGGATGCGGACACTCATTATTTTCAGATCCAGACATTTGTTTGAGACGAAAAGTGACGCTAAATCGGTCATGAAGATGATCAGCTGACTTGGTAAACACGATGTCGCTTGTCACCAGAATTTTGGAGTCGGCGATATTAAGGATTAGATTTTTGGTAAAATATTGATTTTGATTAATTTTAATTAGTATTTTACGAAGTATATGTCATTAAATCGTATAGATTTAACTATAAAAATGAGTTACTATATATAGTATAAAACATATTGACTTTGTGACTTTTTAACTTTTTCTTAAATGGAAAAAAGTGAACTCCCTTTTTATTTTTTTTTTCATCAAAGGACATTTGAACTATTTATATTAATAGTGTCTTAATAGCTTGACACATGGCAATTAATATTATTTAAAATATTATTTCAAAAGTTTGAAATTTAATTAAAATGTCTAAAGCTTTTGTTGCTTTGTGATTTTGTTGTTAAACAGACAGACACAGCACTGGTAAATGTAATAGGATTAATTCTGATTAATTTAATGTACAGTGGCAGTTTTCTTTTAAAAATGTACAAATAGAGTGTATGATGTGTTTATGTCCCCATACAATTAACTTGATTTGTTAGCAAATGGAATAAGTACTGCAATTTATGATTTTAGTTCAATGTTTAATTTTATTATATATTTTAAATTTCAACACCAGAAATAATGAGATATTTTTCCCCGCTTGATTAGTACGAGTAGGGTCTTTGGTTTTCCCTGGATAAATATTGATTATATAATATTCTACTTTAACTCAATACAATAACAAAACAAAAATAATATTTGCACAGTTCCTTGTTTACAGGAGACAAGAGTAGACTAAAAAAGGATGCAGTAAACTTGACATCCAGTTTTGGACTTTAAAACTCCAGCAATACAAGTCCAACAGCTCTGTGGCTGCAGTCAAGACACGAAGTATGTACAAAGACTGAGCTGTTCCTCAAGAGTTGTGAACTAAAGTGTGCATCATGGAGTTTAGACCAGTATCCCCAGTGATAACTAGCAGTCACTCGGATGTTTCTTTAAGATCAGCCATATTCTTTAACAAAGATATGAAAAATTCAATGCAAGCATTTAAGCTGTTGAAGACTCTGTCCGAATGATTCTTTCTCATATTGGTACATATTGTAGAAGCTATTAGCATGATTAGGCTATTAAGTGAGATGTGCTTAGAAGATGTTCAACTATTACTTTTTAAATTTCAGAACACAAGTATATAGTTTTAAGAATTTTTGACACATTTAATTTTTAGAAAAATTAAAAAAAATCTTTTTGCTTGCTTTGAAAAAGAATTAAAAATGATTGTACATGTATTATGAATTCTGTGGAATCTTTTTAATCAAGTTAATTTGTGGGGTTCAATGTTCATGGACAAGAAAAATTGTTCATGGGTATGTAATTTTGTGGATTTTAACTCATTGATAATGTAGATTCAATCAATATGTTAACAAAATCCATGGGCAAGAGAGACTCGTCAAATCCACAAGCATTGATTTCCAAGAATATTGTACTTGCATGCTCAAATTTAAGTACGAAAGGAATAAATATGTATAAATATTTAATACAATCTTTTTTGTTTTATTTATTTACAGCCATGAATAAAATAAGCAAAATCGTTAACAGAAAAAAGTTCAAGCTTTGGAAAAATACTGTACATGTACATAATTTGGTGTTTTCAAAATTTAGCGCAATCAATGGATATGGTTGTTGGCATAATCTTGAATTAATGCTACAAATATTTGTGTCGTATATTCTATTTATAAATGAATTTTTAGTGGTATTTATGAATTAGCACATCCTCGTCTGCTCAAAAACAACTAAAATATGAAGCTCGCTATTTTAAGTACACATACAGTAAATTCCTTTCAATGTCAATTTTTGTACAAACAAATATTAAAATGTTATGTCTGTGCATTCTTTCATTTCACAAATTAATTTCTCTTGCCAGGGATTGTTTGAGTACATCAGCTTCTTTTCTCTTTCAGTTTTTGGTGGAATCCCTTCAAATAAGAATGAGTAGCAATTAGTATAGAGTAATTAGCATTATCATGACTGTACTTGTTTTTTGGTAAATTAAACTGTCTTTAAATATTTTTAATTTTTTAAATAAAATTGATCTACTTCTCAAATTAAAATACAATTCTTAATCAATCCTTAATTGTAAGTTTGTGAAAAGCCTGAAGATGCTGCATACAAGATTATTGTACCGGTATTCTATTAGAGAATTTTCCAAGCATGAGAATACCTTGTCTATGTGTGTACAGGCTGAATGTTGCCCCATATTTCCAGCAGAACATTTTCTCTGTGAATGTATAGGACTGCCAAACATCTCAACACTTTGTCTTAGGTTGTAATACACCTAGTGATAATAAAAGGAAATGCATTTTTTAGCTCTACTGGTCAGAGACCAGAAGAGCTTATGCGATAGTAATGCGTCCGGCGTCCGTCCGTCTGTCCGTCTGTCTGTCTGTCCGTCTGTCCGTCTGTCTGTAAACAATTTTTCAAAATGCTACTCCTCCTACAGTTTTGGTCTAATTTCAATATAACTTGGCACACAAGTAGACTACACTAAGATACATAATTCTGTGTATAGGTTTTTGATTTCGATGAACGGTGTTGCCGTGGTTACTAAAAATAGAAATTTCTGTGAAATTCTTTCAAAATGCTACTCCTCCTACAGTTTTGGTCTGATTTCAGTATAACTTGGCACACAAGTAGAATACACTAAGATACATAATTCTGTGTATCGGTTTTTGATTTCGATGAACGGTGTTGCCGTGGTTACTAAAAATAGAAATTTCTGTGAAATTCTTTCAAAATGCTACTCCTCCTACAGTTTTGGTCTGATTTCAGTATAACTTGGCACACAAGTAGACTACACTAAGATACATAATTCTGTGTATCGGTTTTTGATTTCGATGAACGGTGTTGCCGTGGTTACTAAAAATAGAAATTTCAGTGAAATTCTTTCAAAATGCTACTCCTCCTACAGTTTTGGTCTGATTTCAGTATAATTTGGCACACAAGTAGAATACACTAAGGTACATAAATCTGTGTATCGGTTTTTGATTTCGATGAACGGTGTTGCCGTGGTTACTAAAAATAGAAATATCTGTAAAATTGTTTCAAAATGCTACTCCTCCTACAGTTTTGGTCTGATTTCAATATAACTTGGCACACAAGTAGAATACACTAAGATACATAATTCTGCGTATCAAATTTTAATTTTGATGAACTGTGTTGCCGTGGTTACTAAAAATTGAAATGTCTGTAAAATTGTTTCAAAATGCTACTCCTCCTGCAGTTTTGGTCTGATTTCAATATAACTTGGCACACAAGTAGACTACACTAAGAACATAAAGAGACTTTATCAACGATCATTATTCTATATATTGCTGTTGTAAAGTTTCAAATCCCAGCTGCTTAAGTACTCTTCTCTTCCTTTGCTATAAGTTCAAACCAGTAGAGCTTCAGTCTCGACAGAGACTTCTGGTTTAAGAATTAAAATTGGGAGCATTGAAGCATTGCTTAGGCCAAAATAAAATTATAGTTTGTTTGGAATTGCCTCCCGTCTCATTGAAATGCCCCCTCCTGAAAAAATTTTATTGACCAAATGTAGGAAGATTTTTTTATATTTAATCAATTTTTTTTTTTTGCCCATTACATGTATCACATGCACCATACAAAACACTGATATATAGTGTCTGATCTATGTAAAATTAGGTTTTCAATTAAAAAAAAGTAATTTCCCTCCCTCCCTCCTGTGTCTGAAACCCTTCAGGTGGCAATTCCAAACAAACAATTTTTTAAGGATGGCCTAGCTTAGGTGTAATTTATGAGTACTTTCTATTATTAAAAAAAATACAAATGCAATTACATACCAGTTCATCTTTTTTCCCTGTCAGCACTGACAATAGGATGGATGCCATTTCATGAATTAGATGGGGAAAAATAGAATTTTTATGTAACATGTACCATCCAGCCATAATAAAGCTCCCTGTAAGCTTTGACTTCTTATTTTACCTGCTGATCTCCTAAATAAAATGAAATGAAAAAATATATTCTTAAATAACTGAAAAATAACCAATTTACTCAGTATAGGCTTTTATTTAGGAACAAATATACAGTCAGCCTTTAAGCGAGGTCAATCCATAGTCCTGATAATAAATTCTTTTTTTTCAGAGGACTGTAAAATTAATTATGTTTTTTGTATTTAGTTGTACAATAACAGCTACTACATGTATATATTCCTTTTATTTATTTTTACATGCAGCAGGTTTTATTTAATTACTGAGTATATCTTTCCGACTTAATGAAATTGTAAATGTAAACTAAGTTGTCGAGGGTCACATTATAGAAACACAAATACCGGTACTGTACAAAATGGACCTAGCAAATGATAACTTTAAAATATTTGTACTCATTTTTACCTTTATTATAACAAAGATGTAATGCTCTAAGTATACAAGTAGCTACTGACTATGAAAAAAATATGTACAGAACAAATAAATTTCACAATTATTCATATGCACTATATAGTACAAGGGCACATATCAAATCTATGTTTGTTTGTTGTCTAATTTCCCTCTTAAGAATTTTTTACTCATACGGAGACACCATCATTTGCTGATGGCAGACTGCAACTATACCTATTCTCGGCACTCTGGGCCATTGAGCAGGGATGGATCTTTTTAGTGCGAACACTTACTGCAAAACAGGACCACGGTTTAGACGGTCTCATCTGTAGGACACGTAATGCAGTGGATTTGAACCTGCGACATTAGGTTCAGCTCTTAGCTTTGGCGACTGTAGACAAGGCAGACACTCTAACCACTGCGAAATGTGGGCGACTTACATCAAAGCGTACCAGTCTCAATTTTTTTTTTAATTTAAAAAAAACAAACAAATGAGGCTGATTGGAAATCAATTATATTTATCCAATATCAATGAATGGTCATTTAATGTATCTCTATGTAGGATCTGGAGAGTCTTTTGGTGAGGGTTGAAATATGATGTTTGTGATTGTTTTAGTTTTGTTTATTATCATTAATTTTTTAAGTGAACTAAAATAAAATGAATGTTTAGTTTGTATTTGCCTTGCAATGAATATTACGTTGCACTTAATTACCCTGATGATCATTTGGGACGTTGCTCTTTTAACAGTATGTAACCAGTGTAGATCTACATAACCTAGCTGTGCAATGATTGTCATGTAAAAAAAAAAACAAAAAACAAAAAAAACCCAAAATATCGCCATGAGTATTCGTATCATATACTAATTCCATTTGAATCTAGTGTTTGTGTAAGTGGTAAAGATGATAATACATCTGACAACCTACAAAAACGTCGATTGTAAACTCACTGCTTTGTCGTTGTACTATCTTCGTCATATAGGCATGTTACACTCGATAATTCTTAGAAAGTTTCCATAAATGTATATTATTTACAAACAATAATTACCCAAGATTCGGATAAACCTTTCTCCCGGTTGTGACAGCTCGATTAAAGATCGATTCAGCCCCTCCGTTTGGCTCCAAGTTCGAGGACACGTCCATTTGTTTACATTGTTACAAGCGCCGCGGTGATTAAAGCGTTTACGTAACCACCTCTAGTACACCAGCGACACCTGACGTCATAAATATGACGAATGAGTCCTATTGGCGACTTAGCTAAATAAATAATCTCTTCCGTGCAAGAATCCAACGTTGGGAACGTTTTGCTCATTTTAATCAAACATTCCTTTATATGTTGCTTCTGTATTTATATAATATTCCATGTTTGTTAACTCATTTAATCCAAAAAACTGTTAATTTTATTACATACAAGGATTTCTTGATCATATGTTTTTGCAAAGGTGGTATTAAAATCTCATTCACTTCACAATTTACAACTTTGTTCTCTATTTTGCCTCATGAATAAGAAGATTTATTTATACATTGTATTCTTGCATTTACCATTATGTATTTTAGCATTTTGTCTGCTGAATATTTAGAGGCAGAGAATTTTTTTTCCCCAAAAATATATGCATTTTCAAATTTCCATTTCCCAGAACCCCTCAAAATTCACTATTTCTTAAAAGAGACTTTTATTCATCATAACTTTGCAATTATTTGTTTGCCTAATACAAAGGAAAAAAAGATAATAATTTAAAAGTATAAAGTCATTCTCATTATATCATAAACAAGATGTGTGGGTGTGTGAGAGAGGGTGTGTGTGTGTGAGGGTGTGTGTTTATGTGTGTGTGTGTGAAACACTGATGTCCCGTATGGAAGATTATGGCGAGGGTTGAAGATTCTTAAATCCCAATCAATCTTCAAGGTAAAAATGTCAATATTTATGATACACCAAGGAAGGTCTTGTTATAAGAAATAAACTTGTGAAATATGATAGCCCTAGTACCAACTGTTCGGAAGTAATGGCGAAGAAAAACATTTTTTAAGTTGGTCAAAGTCCTACGAATAAGGTTAAAAATATATATTTCCATTTCAATTTTTTTTCTCTATGATTAACACTACAAAAGTGTATCTTGTTAATTTCATGATAATACCCTGTGGTATGTATATTTCTCTATTACTGAAAGGTCAGGTGTCAACCTGCATGTATATCACTGGCGTATAAATATACTCAAGAAAAAATAAATGTTTTAATTGTTTACTAAGTAATTTGATATGATATGTATTTTTTAACAAGCAAAATAAATTATGAATTATCTTCGGCTCGAAAGCAAGTCACTACTGCAACGCTGTCCACTATGACCGAGACCTCACAATTAAGTCCGAGAACACCACTTCCGTAACAGAAACGTGGAGAAATTGACATTGCCACATGGATCTGCACGTACTCCATCATCTGATACAGACATCGTCCCTTAGTCATTACCGACTTCTTAAGCAACTCAACTTCTTCTGTTATTATAACATCAATACAAATCGGTTTCCTGACCATGCTGACCAGCTCCCGTTTCAACAACTGCAACATTGCATTCAATATGGCGGCGGAGAAGTGACATAGTGCCTATATATGTTCGTGCTTCCGACAACCTAAATCTTGGTCACATATATAATTAAAGTCAACAAGATTCTTTGATCATCATTTAAAATTATTTTGTTGTTTATTTTATAAATGTTGATATTTGACTACGGTAAATATAAATAGTTAATAAATTTGTTTCGTGTTTTGGGGACTATTTTTTATAGTAAAATTTGACGTCATGTGGCCTTGTGCACGTTTCAAATCTACTCAATTAGACGGTATTTCGATTTATTTTAAGATGCTTATTTCAAGTAAAAATGGAAATATAAGGAATCACTGTCTAGTTTTGAGGGTATGCCAGGGACATCAACAATAGTGGGAAACATGGGATAATTTTAGCATAACGGGCTTCGCCCGTTATGCAAATTATCCCATGTTTCCCACTATTGTTGATGCCCTGGCATACCCTCAAAACTAGACAGTGATTCCTTAATTATACCTAATGAAAATTCTTTTCACAATAAACATGTGAAAAATGAAAGCCCTAGCACAGACTGTTCAAAAGTTATAGCCTAGGTTAAATTTTTTTTTTTTGTAAAAGTACATGTAGGTCAAGCTCCCAGGTCAAGAGGTCATATTTGGTGGTACTCAACGAAAGCACTTTTCACAAGGAATATAACTGGGAAATATGAAAGCCATCCCAGCCACTCAAAAGACAGCTGCAGACAGAAAAACAGTCGGGACATAAATCTTTCGATTTGGGAAGATAAGAAGCTGCAAGCCTCATCATTGGCAATTTGTGAAGAAGCTTCCCAGCTCTTCATAAGCAATGCAATTTGTTTGTATACTTAATTCTAAGGAGAAGGGAATGTTTTCAAAGCATCAACTCATTTCAAGTAATTAAAAGCCCTCTCTCCTCCAGTGGACACCCTGAACTGTAGTCATATCACTTACAATTCTGGAAGAGAACTTAAACATAAAAATATGTATTTTGTTTATTTTTTTACCATGGAGTTGAGAATGTTAATTTTTAAAAGTACATAATGGTCTTATAATACTATATATTAAGAAAAAAACCCCGTCTTTTTACTATATCCTTTGGTCATGAATATGATTAATTAAACCAACCATGCCAATCGTTTGCCAGATTATTGTCCAAGAGTAAAGAAATTTTTTTTTGTAATTCTGTTAAACGAGAAAATTTGGCGCATATGCATTTTAGCGCATAGGCAAGATGGAATGCATTGACGAAAAATTATTTTAGCTTGCGCTTATAATATTCAAATAAATTTGATTTGTTGTTTCTTTGATCCATGCCCGTATTTGCCTCCGTGGTTACTTAAACAAGCTAACACAATTATAGCACTCACGTACATAAGTAAACATTTGTCAATTTGTTCATGGTGTTGCAAGCACATGGACAAAGCACAATGTAATTTTTTCAAATTCAAAAGAAAACGTAGAATATTTACGTATTTTATTCAAATAAAATAATACATATCGAAAGAAAGTTAGTTGAACACCTGGTAAACTTTTGTAGGCCTTTCAAACTAATTTTCAAAGTTGCAATGATAGTAAGAACATTTCAGATAGATTTATGGGTGTATTATATTTTGAAAAAAAAAATGATTTATGAATTATCGTTATGAGGAGTTGTATAAAGGCTGCTTATTTTTTTTTTTTTACAAAAATGTGGACCATTATTGTCCAAAAGAAGGAGAATGTCTTCATACTATCTGAAAAAACGCGATCAAATGAATGGGAAGGGACTATATTCAAGATTTTTAACTCCCTTTGACGATTGTTAAAAAAAAGAAAATATTATGGCATGTTTTTGTGTGTGCATTTTGTGCTTACTGTATACATGTGTAAATGCGAAAATTAAGCTTATTTATGTTACTAAGCACAAAGAAGAACGACAATATATTAAAATTTAATCAGGTTAAAATTTCGAAGGGGCTAGACTTTTACTTTATATATTTATTTTATTTTTTAACTTATATGTAATTAAACAGTGTCTGTAACTAAATGGCAAATAAGTTAAACATTATTGCTAAATTTTAAAATCACTTGATTCTACTGACAGGGAAGAAGCTCCTGGGAAAGAGTAAGAACTGACTTGCCAATTTAAACAATAAGATTCCTTGGACCTGCTCTAAACAAGTTCCAGTAATGAGTTATCGTTCATAACATCAAACCTAGCGCCAGTTTAAAGTCCTACTTTACAGTTCACAAGATCAATCGCATGCTTGATCATATATTCTTCACCCGACGCCCAAATATAAAGGTGCTAAAGATAACTATCGGGTAACAACTTAAAAAAAATGAATTCATAATTTGACAGATCATTCTCGATAGATCGGACAGTGCGAGTGTGTATAGAAAAATACAGCAATTCAAGGACATTACATAACTGCGCTTTCGGTTTACATGTACTTACAATGTGTGTAATGCTTTGAACACACATAATAATAATATTTAGGAATCCGTAACTGCACAATAATTTAAACGTTCGATGGCTCTTGATCCAAAATCACTAAAGTTAGTACATTGTAATGCGCCATATTTTCTCGTTTTACAGTACTTACTACAATGATAACACTTTGGCTCAAGGGGACAGAATCAGATTAAATTTAGAATTTTAATTTCCGTTCATTAATACACATGGATATGCTTTATACTGAATAATGTGGTGTGAAGATAAGGGTATTTAGTGTTTAACAGCCTACGAACGACGGAAGTCAATAGCACGTGAACAAAATTTGTGATAAAATAGTAAAAAGAAATACTTGTTTTGGTACTATTTTTATGCCCCCGTAAACAAACTTTACAAAAATATTCTACATGTATGTGGCAAGACCTTTCATTTCATTGAATACCAATTATCTTGACCGTTTGACCTTGACGATTTTGTACTTATGAAAAAAACTTTGACTTTTGCCATAACTTTTAAATGATAAGGGCTAGTGATCTTATACTTCCGTTAAGTAATCCTTCTGAGAAGACCCTTCATTGGATACCAAGAGTTTTGATCCTTTGATCTTGACCTTGGAGTTTGACCTACTTTTTAAAATTTTAACCTTGGCCATAACTTCTGAACGGTAAGGGCTAGAGTTTCTATCCTCTACATATGTATTTTATGTGGCAAGACCTTTCATTTGATACCAATGACCTTGACATAAAAGATTTCTGTACCTATGAAAGATATTATACCTTGGCCTACTTTTATACTTCACAATTGTATTTCCAGTGAGAATATCCTACTTTTGGTACCAATATATTAAATTCACATTAACGAAAATTTTAATCTTTGCTATGTTGCCATACGGGGGCATCGGTGTTTCACAAACACATCTAATTAACTATCGTTTAATACTGATTATTGAATTAAAACAGAGTTTTTTTTAAAACTAAGACAGTATTTTCTCTACAGTAATTAAAGTATATAAGACTTTCAGAGCGTCAATTTTTATATTTTATAATTTTTAGTCAGGCAATTTTCTTACACATGTATGAAAAAAATATTACGTGAACTTATTTAAAACAAGCTAATTCAGAGAATTAATGTCCCCCGCTTAGGGGAAAAGTCGGATCCCCCTGACTGCATTTGTAGAATTATGAAATGTATACATACTCTGAGGCAACTAAAATA